ATAATGATCATGATGATGGTACTAATTACGAAGCTGATCATGATGACAACGAGGATAATAATAATAACCTGTTGACGATTTCGTAGCTGATGATAACAGCAGATGATAATAATTGATCGATCATGAATATGCCGAGATGACGATGATCTGATTAATAACGATGAGTTGGTGATAATTAGCAATTGATGCGGTGATGATCGGTTGATGGTAAAGCGATGAGAGTCTGATGATGAAACTCTGGCGATGATGAGGACAGTGTGGTAATGATGAGCTTCATGATAATGAAGTGAGGGAGTCTGATGATGAAACTGGTGATGGTGATGATGATGAGGACGGTGTGATGATGATGAGCTTCATGATAATGAGGTGAGGGAGTCTGATGATGAAACTCTGGTGATGATGATGAGGACAGTGTGGTAATGAGCTTCATGATGAGGTGAGGGAGTCTGATGATGACAGTGTGATAATGATGAGCTTCATGATAATGAGGTGAGATAGTGTAATGATGAGGACAATGTGGTAATGATGAGCTTCATGATAATGAGGTGAGAGAGTCTGATGATGAGGACAGTGTGGTAATGATGAGCTTTATGATGAAGTGAGGGAGTCTGATGATGAAACTGGTGATAGTGATGATGATGATGACAGTGTGGTAATGACGAGCTTCATGATAATGAGGTGAGAGAGTCTGATGGTGAAACTCTGACGATGATGGTGATGATGAGGACAGTGTGATAATGATGAGCTTCATGATAATGAGATGAGAGAGTCTGATGATGAGGACAGTGTGATAATGATGAGCTTCATGATAATGAGGTGAGGGAGTCTGATGATGAAACTCTGGTGATGATGGTGATGACAGTGTGGTAATGATGAGCTTTATGATAATGAGGTGACAGAGTCTGATGATTAAACTCTGACGATGATGATGATAGTGTGATAATGATGATGAGGACAGTGTGATAATGACGAGCTTCGTGATAATGAGGTGAGGGAGTCTGATGATGAGGACAGTGTGATAATGATGATGAGGACAGTGTGGTCATGATGAGCTTCACGATAATGAGGTGAGAGAGTCTGATGATGAGAACGGTGTGGTAATGATGAGCTTCATGATAATGAGGTGAGGGAGTCTGATGATGAAACTCTGGTGATGATGATGAGGACAGTGTGGTAATGATGAACTTCATGATAATGAGGTGAGAGAGTCTGATGATGACAGTGTGGTGATGATGGTGATGATGATGACAGTGTGGTAATGATGAGCTTTATGATGAAGTGAGAGAGTCTGATGATGAAACTCTGGTGATGATGATGATGACAGTGTGATCATGATGAGCTTTATAATGAGGTGAGAGAGTCTGATGATGAGGACAGTGTGATGATGATAGTGTGATAATGATGAGCTTCATGATCATGAGGTGAGGGAGTCTGATAATGAGGACAGTGTGATAATGATGAGCTTCATGATGAGGTGAGGGAGTCTGATGATGAAACTGGCGATGATGATGATAGTGTGGTAATGATGAACTTCATGATAATGAGGTGAGAGAGTCTGATGGTGAAACTGGTGATGATGATAACAGTGTGGTAATGATGAGCTTCATGATCATGAGGTGAGACAGTCTGATGATGAAACTCTGGTGATGATGATGACAGTGTGATCATGATGGGCTTTATAATGAGTTGAGAGAGTCTGATGATGAGGACAGTGTGATGATGATGACAGTGTGATAATGATGAGCTTCATGATCATGAGGTGAGGGAGTCTGATGATGAGGACGGTGTGGTAATGATGAGCTTCACGATAATGAGGTGAGAAAGTCTGATGATGAGGACAGTGTGATAATGATGATGAGGACAGTGTGGTAATGACGAGCTTCATGATAATGAGGTGAGAGAGTCTGATGATGAGGACAGTGTGGTAATGATGAGCTTCATGATAATGAGGTGAGAGAGTCTGATGATGAAACTGGTGATGGTGATGAGGACAGTGTGATAATGACGAGCTTCACGATAATGAGGTGAGAGAGTCTGATGATGAGGACAGTGTGGTAATGATGATGAGGACAGTGTGATAATGATGAGCTTCATGATAATGAGGTCCTCACCTCAGTCTGATGAAGAAACTCTGGTGATGATGGTGATGATGAGGACAGTGTGATAATGATGAGGACAGTGTGATAATGATGAGCTTCATGATAATGAGGTGAGAGAGTCTGATGATGACAGTGTGGTGATGATGGTGATGATGATGACAGTGTCGTAATGATGAGCTTTATGATAATGAGGTGAGAGAGTCTGATGATTAAACTCTGGTGATGATGATGAGGACAGTGTGATAATGATGATGAGGACAGTGTGGTAATGACGAGCTTCGTGATAATGAGGTGAGGGAGTCTGACGATGAGGACAGTGTGATAATGATGATGAGGACAGTGTGGTCATGATGAGCTTCACGATAATGAGGTGAGAGAGTCTGATAATGAGGACAGTGTGATAATGATGAGCTTCATGATGAGGTGAGGGAGTCTGATGATGAAACTCTGGCGATGATGATGACAGTGTGGTAATGATGAACTTCATGATAATGAGGTGAGAGAGTCTGATGGTGAAACTGGTGATGGTGATGATGACAGTGTGGTAATGATGAGCTTCATGATCATGAGGTGAGAGAGTCTGATGATGAAACTCTGGTGATGATGATGAGGACAGTGTGATCATGATGAGCTTTATAATGAGGTGAGAGTCTGATGATGAGGACAGTGTGATGATGATGATGACAGTGTGATAATGATGAGCTTCATGATCATGAGGTGAGAGAGTCTGATGATGAGGACAGTGTGGTAATGATGACCTTCACGATAATGAGGTGAGAGAGTCTGATGGTGAAACTCTGGTGATGATGATGCCAGTGTGGTAATGATGAGCTTCATGATAATGAGGTGAGGGAGTCTGATGATGAAACTCTGGTGATGATGATGAGGACAGTGTGGTAATGATGAACTTCATGATAATGAGGTGAGAGAGTCTGATGATGACAGTGTGGTGATGATGGTGATGATGATGACAGTGTGGTAATGATGAACTTCATGATAATGAGGTGAGAGAGTCTGATGGTGAAACTGGTGATGATGATAGTGTGGCAATGATGAGCTTCATGATCATGAGGTGAGAGAGTCTGATGATGAAACTCTGGTGATGATGATGAGGACAGTGTGATCATGATGAGCTTTATAATGAGGTGAGAGAGTCTGATGATGAGGACAGTGTGATAATGATGAGCTTCATGATAATGAGGTGAGAGAGTCTGATGATGACAGTGTGGTGATGATGGTGATGATGATGACAGTGTCGTAATGATGAGCTTTATGATAATGAGGTGAGAGAGTCTGATGATTAAACTCTGGTGATGATGATGATGAGGACAGTGTGATAATGATGATGAGGACAGTGTGGTAATGACGAGCTTCGTGATAATGAGGTGAGGGAGTCTGACGATGAGGACAGTGTGATAATGATGATGAGGACAGTGTGGTCATGATGAGCTTCACGATAATGAGGTGAGAGAGTCTGATAATGAGGACAGTGTGATAATGATGAGCTTCATGATGAGGTGAGGGAGTCTGATGATGAAACTCTGGCGATGATGATGACAGTGTGGTAATGATGAACTTCATGATAATGAGGTGAGAGAGTCTGATGGTGAAACTGGTGATGGTGATGATGACAGTGTGGTAATGATGAGCTTCATGATCATGAGGTGAGAGAGTCTGATGATGAAACTCTGGTGATGATGATGAGGACAGTGTGATCATGATGAGCTTTATAATGAGGTGAGAGTCTGATGATGAGGACAGTGTGATGATGATGATGATGACAGTGTGATAATGATGAGCTTCATGATCATGAGGTGAGAGAGTCTGATGATGAGGACAGTGTGGTAATGATGAGCTTCACGATAATGAGGTGAGAGAGTCTGATGGTGAAACTCTGGTGATGATGATGCCAGTGTGGTAATGATGAGCTTCATGATAATGAGGTGAGGGAGTCTGATGATGAAACTCTGGTGATGATGATGAGGACAGTGTGGTAATGATGAACTTCATGATAATGAGGTGAGAGAGTCTGATGATGACAGTGTGGTGATGATGGTGATGATGATGACAGTGTGGTAATGATGAACTTCATGATAATGAGGTGAGAGAGTCTGATGGTGAAACTGGTGATGATGATGATAGTGTGGCAATGATGAGCTTCATGATCATGAGGTGAGAGAGTCTGATGATGAAACTCTGGTGATGATGATGAGGACAGTGTGATCATGATGAGCTTTATAATGAGGTGAGAGAGTCTGATGATGAGGACAGTGTGATGATGATGACAGTGTGATAATGATGAGCGTCATGATAATGAGGTGAGAGAGTCTGATGGTGAAACTCTGGTGATGATGATGAGGACAGTGTGGTAATGATGAACTTCATGATAATGAGGTGAGAGAGTCTGATGGTGAAACTGGTGATGGTGATGATGATGAGGAGTGTGGTAATGATGAGCTTCATGATCACGAGGTGAGAGAGTCTGATGATGAAACTCTGGTGATGATGATGACAGTGTGATCATGATGAGCTTTATAATGAGGTGAGAGAGTCTGATGATGATGACAGTGTGATAATGGTGATGAGGACAGTGTGGTAATGACGAGCTTCATGATAATGAAGTGAGAGAGTCTGATGATGACGACAGTGTGATAATGATGAGCTTCATGATGAGGTGAGAGAGTCTGATGATGAGGACAGTGTGGTAATGATGAGCTTCATGATAATGAGGTGAGAGAGTCTGATGATGAGGACAGTGTGGTAATGATGAGCTTCATGATAATGAGGTGAGAGAGTCTGATGATGAGGACAGTGTGGTAATGATTATGAGGACAATGTGATAATGATGATGAGAGTGTGATGATGATGAGCTTTATGATAATGAGGAGGAGGAGGAGACTGTTTTCCCGCCAACGTCGAATGGGCGCCGCAGTGACGCCGCGAGGCCCCGCCCCGCCCCGCCCGCCCGGGCTGCTCGAGGAGACAACGCGGGGAGACAACGGCGGGGAGACACCACGGGGGACACCACGGGAGACAACGCCGGGGAGATACCACGGGGGACACCACGGGAGACACCGCGAGGAGACACGGCGGGGAGACACCACGGGAGAGACCACGGGGGGACACCGCGGGAGACAACGCCGGGGAGACACCGCGGGAGACACCGCGAGGAGACACGGCGGGGGACACCACGGGAGACACGGCGGGGAAGACGCACGGCGGCGAGACCACGGAGAAGAGAGATCGCGCCGCTTGCTCCCCGCGAATCGGTGAAGGCGGCGCCATGAGCTCGCCGAGCTCCGGGGGGAGGAGACGGCACGGGGGGATGGTGATGATATGGTGAGATGATGGTGAGGTGATGGTGTGGTGATGGTGAGGTGATGGTGAGGTGATGGGGGATGGTGAGGTGATGGGGTGGTGATGATATGGTGAGGTGATGGGTGATGGTGAGGTGATGGTGTGGTGATGGTGAGGTGATGGTGTGGTGATGGTGAGGTGATGGTGTGGTGATGGTGAGGTGATGGGGGATGGTGAGGTGATGGGGTGGTGATGATATGGTGAAGTGATGGGTGATGGTGAGGTGATGGTGTGGTGATGGTGAGGTGATTGGGGATGGTGAGGTGATGGGGTGGTGATGATATGGTGAGGTGATGGTGAGGTGATGGTGTGGTGATGGTGAGGTGATTGGGGATGGTGAGGTGATGGGGTGGTGATGATATGGTGAGGTGATGGTGTGGTGATGGTGAGGTGATGGTGTGGTGATGGTGAGGTAATGGTGTGGGGATGGTGAGGTGATGGGGTGGTGATGATATGGTGAGGTGATGGGTGATGGTGAGGTGATGGGGGGTGGTGATGGTGAGGTGATGGTGAGGTACGGGGTGGTGATGATCGGGTGAGGTGATGGTGATGGTGAGGTGATGGGGTGGTGATGGTATGGTGATGGTGAGGTGATGGTGAGGTGATGGTGAGGTGATGGTGAGGTGATGGTGAGGTGATGGGGGATGGTGAGGTGATGGGGTGGTGATGATCGGGTGAGGTGATGGGGGATGGTGATGGTGAGGTGATGGTGAGGTGATGGTGAGGTGATGGTGAGGTGATGGTGAGGTGATGGTGGGGGGATGGTGATGGGTGGTGACGATGGGGAACGGTGAGGCGATGTGGGTGACGTGATGGGGGAGTGGTGTGATGGGCTGAGGTAACGGGGTGGGGTGATGGGTATGAGGTGATGGGTGAGGTGATGGTGATGCGGTGAGGTTATGGGGGTGATGTGGTGAGGTTATGGTCGGTGATGAGGTGAGGTGATGGTGGTGATGCGGTGAGGTTATGGGGGTGATGAGGTGATGCTGTAGATGTGGTGGTGATGAGGTGTGATGGGAATGTTTGTGATGCTGTTGATGAGGTGGTGATTTTTTGATGGGGGGGGGGGGGGTGCAGTTGAGGTTATCGGGAAGAGGTGATGGTGGTGCAAATTAAGTAGTGGTGTGATGAGGAACGAGTTGAAGTGACTATACATGGGGATGACGAGGAGGTGGTGGTGGTGATGTAGCTGATGAGGTTATGGAGTTGTGGGAGATCATTGATTAGAGTAAATCTTGTGATGCGGCTGATGCATGTGTGTTTGTGATGAGGTGATGTGATGCACGTGTGATGATTCTGCAGATGAGGAGCTGATGGTAGTGATGTAATTTAAGTACGGGAGGGAGGGTGGTGATGATTTAATGGGTTGATGCTATGGCGTGATGGGTATAATGTTGGATATGATGTTGGTGATATGATGGGGAAGTGGTGGTGGAATTGCATGTGACTGCATATAATTATGGTATGGTAATGGTGAGATTCGGCACCACCATCACCATCATAAGCCCTTCTCACGCCTTGTGAGGGGCGTTACCATGGTAACGCGCGCGTGATTGGACGAGGCGAGCTCCAGAGACCACGTGATATGTAGTGTGTGTGTGGTTGTGCGGTGTGTGTGCGTGGTTGTGTGGGTGTGATTGTGCGGTGTGTGTGCGTGGTTGTGTGGTGTGTGATTGTGCGGTGTGTGTGCGTGGTTGTGTGGTGTGTGATTGTGCGGTGTGTGTGCGTGGTTGTGTGGTGTGTGATTGTGCGGTGTGTTTGTGCGCGGTTGTGCGGTGTGTGCGTGCGCGGTTGTGCGGTGTGTGTGCGTGGTTTGGTGTGTGTACCTGGTTGTGCGGTGTGTTTGCGCGGTTGTGCGGTGTGTGTTTGTGCGGTGTGTGTTTGCGCGTTTGTGCGGTGTGTGTGCCTGGTTGTGCGGTGTGTGCGTGGTTGTCCGGTGTGTGTTTGCGTGGTTGTACGTTGTGTGCGCGGTTGTGCGATGTGTATTTGCGCGGTTGTGTGGTGTGTGTGTGTAATTGTGCGGTGTGTGTTTGCGTGGTTGTGTGGTGCGTGGTTGTGCGGTGTGTGTTTGCGCGGTTGTGTGGTGTGTGTGATTGTGCGGTGTGTGTTTGCGTGGTTGTGCGGTGTGTGTTTGCGCGGTTGTGTGGTGTGCGCGCACGGTTGTGCGGTGTGTGCGTGTGGTTGTGCGGTGTGTGTTTGCGTGGTTGTGCGGTGTGTGTGCGTGGTTGTGCGGTGTGTGTGCGCGGTTATGCGATGTGTGTGCGCGCGCGGTTGCGCCGTGTGTGCGGTTATGCGGTGTGTGTGTGGTTGAGCGGTGTTTGTGGTTGTGCGGTGGATGTGTGGTTGTGCGGTGGGTGTGTGGTTGTGCGGTGGGTGTTTGCGCTGGTGTGCGGTGTGTGTGCGCGCAGTTGTGCGGTGTGTGTTTGCGCTAGTGTGCGGTGTGTGTTTGCGCTGGTGTGCAGTGTGTGTTTGCGCTGGTGTGCGGTGTGTGGTTGCGCGGGTGTGCGGTGTGTGTGCGCGGTTGAGCGGTGTGTGTGCGCGGTTGAGCGGTGTGTGTGCATTTATACGGTGTGTGCTGTTGTGTGGTGTGTGTGGTTGTGCGGTGTGTGTGGTTGAGCGAATGTTTGGTTGTGCGGTGGGTGTGTGGTTTTGCGGTGGTTGTGCGGTGTGTGTTTGTGCGGTTGTGCAGTGTGTGCACGCGCGGTTGTGCGGTGTGTTTGCGTGGTTGAGCGGTGTGTGTGCGTGGTTGTTTGGTGTGTGTGCCTGGTTATGCGGTGTGTGCATGCGCAGTTATGCGGTGTGTGTGCAGTTATGCGGTGTGTGTGTGCAGTGTTTGTGCGCGCGGTTTTGCGGTGTGTGTTTGCGCGGTTGTGCGGTGTGTGTGCGCGCGCGGTTGCGCCGTGTGTGCGGTTATCCGGTTTGTGTGTGGTGTGTGTGGTTGTGCGGTGGGTGTGTGGTTGTGCGGTGGGTGTTTGCGCTGGTGTGCGGTGTGTGTGCGCGCGGTTGTGCGGTGTGTGTGCGGTTGAGCGGTGTGTGTGTGTGGTTGTGCGGTGTGTGTGCGGTTGAGCGGTGTGTGTGTGCGGTTGAGCAGTGTGTGTGCGGTTATACGGTGTGTGTGCGGTTGTGTGGTGTGTGTGGTTGTGCGGTGTGTGTGTGTGGTTGTGCGGTGGGTGTGTGGTTGTGCGGTGGGTGTGTGGTTGTGCGGTGGGTGTGTGGTTGTGCGGGGTGTGTATGCGCGCGGTTGGGAGGTGTGTGTGTGCCGTTGAGCGGTGTGTGTGCGCGCGTGGTTGAGCAGTATGTGTGTGTGTGTGCGTGGCTGAGCGGTGTGTGTGCGTGGCTGAGCGATGTGTGCGCGTGGTTGAGCGGTGTGTGTGCATCATTGAGCGGTGTGTGTTCGTCGTTGAGCGGTGTGTGTGTGCGTCGTTGAGTGGTGTGCGTGCGTCGTTGAGCGGGGTGTGTGTGTGTGTGCGCGTGGTTGAGCGGTGTGTGTGCCTGGTTGTGCGGTGTGTTGGCGTGGTTGTCTGGTGTGTGTTTGCGTGGTTGTACGTTGTGTGCGCGGTTATGCGGTGTGTGCTCGTGCAGTTATGCGGTGTGTGTGCGCAGTGTTTGTGCGGTGTGTGTGCGGTTATGCGGTTTGTGTGTGGTGTGTGTGGTTGTGCGGTGTGTGTGTGGTTGAGCGGTGGGTGTGTGGTTGTGCGGTGGGTGTTTGCGCTGGTGTGCGGTGTGTGTGCGCGCGGTTGTGCGGTGTGTGTGTGGTTGAGCGGTGTGTGTGTGCGGTTGAGCGGTGTGTGTGTGCGGTTGAGCGGTGTGTGTGCGGTTGAGCGGTGTGTGTGCGGTTATACGGTGTGTGTGCGGTTGTGTGGTGTGTGTGGTTGTGCGGTGTGTGTGTGGTTGTGCGGTGGGTGTGTGGTTGTTCGGTGGGTGTGTGGTTGTGCGGTGGGTGTGTGGTTGTGCGGTGGGTGTGTGGTTGTGCGGTGGGTGTGTGCGCGCGGTTGTGCGGTGTGTGTGTGTGGTTGTGCGGTGTGTGTGTGGTTGTGCGGTGTGTGTGTGGTTGTGCGGTGTGTGTGTGCGGCTGTGCGGTGTGTGCGCGCGGTTGTGCGGTGTGTGTGTGCGCGCGGTTGGGAGGTGTGTGTGTGCCGTTGAGCGGTGTGTGCGCGCGTGGTTGAGCAGTATGTGTGTGTGTGCGTGGCTGAGCGGTGTGTGTGCGTGGTTGAGCGGTGTGTGTGTGTGCGTGGCTGAGCGATGTGTGCGCGTGGTTGAGCAGTGTGTGTGTGTGTGCGCGTGGTTGAGCGGTGTGTGTGTGTGGTTAAGCGGTGTGTGTGCATCGTTGAGCGGTGTGTGTGCGTCGTTGAGTGGTGTGTGTGCGTCGTTGAGCGTTGTGTGTGTGCAGTGTTTGTGCGCGCGGTTGTGCGGTGTGTGGTTGCGCCGTGTGTGTGCGGTTATGCGGTGTGGTTATGCGGTGTGTGTGGTTATGCGGTGTGTGTGTGGTTGTGCGGTGGGTGTGTGGTTGTGCGGTGGGTGTTTGCGCTGGTGTGCGGTGTGTGGTTGGGCGGGTGTGCGGTGTGTGGTTGGGCGGGTGTGCGGTGTGTGGTTGGGCGGGAGTGCGGTGTGTGCGCGCGGTTGAGCGGTGTGTGTGCGGTTGAGCGGTGTGTGTGCGGTAATACGGTGTGTGTGCGGTTATACGGTGTGTGTGCGGTTGTGTGGTGTGTGTGGTTGTGCTGTGTGGGTGGGTTGTGCGGTGGGTGTGTGGTTGTGCGGTGGGTGTGTGGTTGTGCGGTGGGTGTGTGATTGTGCGGTGGGTGTGTGGTTGTGCGGTGGGTGTGTGGTTGTGCGGTGGGTGTGTGGTTGTGCGGTGGGTGTGTGGTTGTGCGGTGTGTGTTTGCGCGGGTGTGCGGTGTGTGGTTGGGCGGGTGTGCGGTGTGTGCACGTGGTTGAGCGGTGTGTGTGTGTGTGTGGTTGAGCGGTGTGTGTGCGGTTATACGGTGTGTGTGCGGTTGTGTGGTGTGTGTGGTTGTGCGGTGTGTGTGTGTGGTTGTGCGGTGGGTGCGTGGTTGGGCGGTGGGTGTGTGTGCGGTTGTGCGGTGGGTGTGTGCGCGGTTGTGCGGTGGGTGTGCGCGCGGTTGTGCGGTGTGTGTTTGCGCGGGTGTGCGGTGTGTGCGCGCGGCTGTGCGGTGTGTGTATGCGCGCGGTCGGGAGGTGTGTGTGTGCCGTTGAGCGGTGTGTGTGCGCGCGTGGTTGAGCAGTATGTGTGTGTGTGCGTGGTTGAGCGATGTGTGTGTGTGCGCATGGTTGAGCGGTGTGTGTGCCTGGTTGTGCGGTGTGTTGGCGTGGTTGTCTGGTGTGTGTTTGCGTGGTTGCACGTTGTGTGCGCGGTTATGCGGTGTGTGCTCGTGCAGTTATGCGGTGTGTGTGCGCAGTGTTTGTGAGCGCGGTTGTGCGGTGTGTGTGCGGTTATGCGGTTTGTGTGTGGTGTGTGTGGTTGTGCGGAGTGTGTGTGGTTGAGCGGTGGGTGTGTGGTTGTGCGGTGGGTGTTTGCGCTGGTGTGCGGTGTGTGTGCGCGCGCGGTTGTGTGGTGTGTGTGCGCATGCGGTTGTGCGGTGTGTGTGCGTGGTTGTTTGGTGTGTGTGCCTGGTTGTGCGGTGTGTTGGCGTGTTTGTCCGGTGTGTGTTTGCGTGGTTGTACGTTGTGTGCGCGGTTATGCGGTGTGTGCACGCGCAGTTATGCGGTGTGTGTGCGCGCGCGGTTGCGCCGTGTGTGCGGTTATGCGGTTTGTGTGTGGTGTGTGTGGTGTGTGTGGTGTGTGTGGTTGAGCGGTGTGTGTGCGGTTATACGGTGTGTGTGCGGTTGTGTGGTGTGTGTGTGGTTGTGCGGTGTGTGTGTGTGGTTGTGCGGTGGGTGTGTGGTTGTGCGGTGGGTGTGTGCGCGCGGTTGTGCAGTGTGTGCGCGCGCGGTTGTGCGGTGGGTGTGTGCGCGCGGTTGTGCGGTGTGTGTGTGTGCGCGCGCGGTTGTGCGGTGGGTGTGTGCGCGCGGTTGTGCGGTGTGTGTTTGCGCTGGTGTGCGGTGTATGCGCGCGGTTGGGAGGTGTGTGTGTGCCGTTGAGCGGTGTGTGTGCGTGCATGGTTGAGCGGTATGTGTGCGTGGTTAAGCGGTGTGTATGCATTGTTGAGCGGTGTGTGTGCGTGGTTGAGCGTTGTGTGTGTGCAGTGTTTGTGCGCGCGGTTGTGCGGTGTGTGGTTGCGCCGTGTGTGTGCGGTTATGCGGTGTGGTTATGCGGTGTGTGTGGTTATGCGGTGTGTGTGTGGTTGTGCGGTGTGTGTTTGCGCGGGTGTGCGGTGTGTGCGCGCGGTTGAGCGGTGTGTGTGTGGTTGTGCGGTGGGTGTGTGGTTGTGCGGTGGGTGGGTGGTTGTGCGGTGGGTGTGTGGTTGTGCGGTGGGTGTGTGGTTGTGCGGTGGGTGTGTGGTTGAGCGGTGTGGGTGTGTGGTTGAGCGGTGTGTGTGTGTGGTTGAGCGGTGTGTGTGCGGTTATACGGTGTGTGTGCGGTTGTGTGGTGTGTGTGGTTGTGCGGTGTGTGTGTGTGGTTGTGCGGTGGGTGCGTGGTTGGGCGGTGGGTGTGTGCGCGGTTGTGCGGTGGGTGTGTGCGCGGTTGTGCGGTGGGTGTGTGGTTGTGCGGTGGGTGTGTGCGTGCAGTTGTGCGGTGGGTGTGTTTGCGCGGGTGTGCGGTGTTTGTTTGCGCGCGGTTGGGAGGTGTGTGTGTGCCGTTGAGCGGTGTGTGTGCGCGCGTGGTTGAGCAGTATGTGTGTGTGCGTGGCTGAGCGGTGTGTGTGCGTGGCTGAGCGGTGTGTGTGTGTGTGTGCGTGGCTGAGCGGTGTGTGTGCGTGGTTGAGCGGTGTGTGTGTGTGTGTGCGCGTGGTTGAGCAGTGTGTGTGTGTATGCGTGGTTGAGCAGTGTGTGTGTGCGCATGGTTGAGCGGTGTGTGTGTGTGTGCGCATGGTTGAGCGGTGTGTGTGCATCATTGAGCGGTGTGTGTTCGTCGTTGAGCGGTGTGTGTGTGCGTCGTTGAGTGGTGTGTGTGCATCTTTGAGTGGTGTGTGTGCGTCGTTGAGCGGTGTGTGTGCGTGGTTGAGCGGTGTGTGTGCCTGGTTGTGCGGTGTGTGTGCCTGGTTGTGCGGTGTGTTGGCGTGGTTGTCTGGTGTGTGTTTGCGTGGTTGCACGTTGTGTGCGCGGTTATGCGGTGTGTCCTCGTGCAGTTATGCGGGGTGTGTGTGCGTCGTTGAGCGTTGTGTGTGTGCAGTGTTTGTGCGCGCGGTTGTGTGGTGTGTGTTTGCGCGGTTGCGCGGTGTGTGCGGGCGGTTGCGCCGTGTGTGTGCGGTTATGCGGTTTGTGTGTGGTGTGTGTGGTTGTGCGGTGTGTGTGTGTGGTTGAGTGGTGGGTGTGTGGTTGTGCGGTGGGTGTTTGCGCTGGTGTGCGGTGTGTGTGCGCGCGCGGTTGTGCGGTGTGTGTGCGCATGCGGTTGTGCGGTGTGTGTGCGCATGCGGTTGTGCGGTGTGTGTGCGCGCGTGGTTGTGCGGTGTGTGTTTGCGCTGATGTGCGGTGTGTGCGCATGCGGTTGTGCGGTGTGTGCATGCGCGGTTGCGCGGTGTGTGTATGCGCGCGGTTGAGAGGTGTGTGTGCAGTTGAGCGGTGTGTGTGTGCGCGTGGTTGAGCAGTATGTGTGTGTGTGTGTGTGCGTGGCTGAGCAGTGTGTGTGCATGGTTGAGCGGTGTGTGTGTGTGCGCATGGTTGAGCAGTGTGTGTGTGTGCACGTGGTTGAGCGGTGTGTGTGCGTTGTTGTTTGGTGTGTGTGCGTGGTTGTTTGGTGTGTGTGCCTGGTTGTGCGTGCGTGGTTGTCCGGTGTGTGTTTGCGTGGTTGTACGTTGTGTGTGTGGTTATGCGGTGTGTGCGCGCGCGGTTATGCGGTGCGTGTGAGCCGTGTTTGTGCGCGCGTTTGCGCGGTTGCGCGGTGTGTGTGCGCGCGCGGTTGCGCCATGTGTGTGCGGTTATACGGTGTGTGTGGTTATGCGGTGTACGTGGTTGTGCGGTGTGTGTGTGGTTGTGCGGTGGGTGTGTGGTTGTGCCGTGGTTGTGCGGTGTGTTTGCGTGGGTGTGTGGTTGCGCGGATGTGCGTTGCGTGGTTGAGCGGTGTGTGTGTGCGCGTGGTTGAGCGGTGTGTGTGTGGGTGAGCGGTGTGTGTGTGTGCTACGATGTGTAAACATCGCCACTGTGGAGACAAAGGCGGCCGGGCATGGTCCTGGCCACCAACCCCCTGGTGTGCCATCCCAGCCTTCATCGTTGCTCGCTGACAGCACTTGCCCCAACAGTCTGTTAGGGCTATAGTGGGGATCTTTGTCTTTGCATGTTTGTGTGTCCAGTGATGTCCTGTGTGTTGTCCGATTCTGTTTACATAGTGCTGTGTTGGTGTGCTGTGTGTGATCCTGCACATGTTAATGTTTTTTCGTGATAAGTGTGTATATTGGTGCATGTGTGGCTGTGGGCGCATGCTAGAACTCAAGCAAGAATATCTACTGAACTCTTGTGGCTAGACGGCAAATGAGAGCCCATCTTCTTGACACCAGGACTTACAGTGGAGCTGATCTGTCCACTGACCATCGGCTTGTCATCTGTAAGATGCACCTGCTGTTCTTCCACTGTGGACTGGCAATCCACGTCTCATCATGTTCAAACCAGAAATAGCCCCGTCTGGACTCGCTGTTGAAAGTTGCAAGCGAGAATCTGATCATCGCTTGCGGCTGGGGTTGGCATCGTAACCCCCCCACCTCCTCCTGAAGCCGAGGGGCAATGGGTGAGGTTCAGGACTGTGGCTCATGCAGCTGCTCTGGCTTAATTGGGCACGTGGTCGAGACCGCCCCACAAACCCTGGTTAACGGAGGTGTTCCAGCGAGCTGAGAGACAGCGACAGGCCCACTCTCACTGCTTATAACTTCCCACAAGGAGGCTCATTGCTGCCTCCTCTTGAAGGTTCGGAGAGTTATGTGGCATTGCAAGGATGAGTGGTGGTCACAGGGTTGCTTTAAATGGTTGCAAGTGAGAATTTGATCGCGTTTGTGTGGTGTCTGTCTGTGATGGTGTGGTGACTGTGCATTACCGTGTATTATGATGTGGTGGCTATGCGCGATTGTATTTGACCGTGTGTGTCGTTGGCTGTGTGTGACACTGTGTGATGCTGTGCCGTGTGTGCGTGTACACCAGGCCCCTGCGTTCGCTTCTTCGACAATGAGTGTAGTAGTAGAGGCAACTTCTATCCTTACGGGGGAGAACGGTGCGGTCCCTGGAGGTGGTGACGCCACTCACGTATCAACTCGCACCCCCACTCACCCCGTGGCCACTTGTGAAACCACCGAACCCCCCGAGCACCCGGGGGGTAGCACGGGGGGTGGGTCCGCATTGCATGGAGACACAGGACACGGGGCAGACACTGGACATGGCGGAGATACAGGACAGGGAGATACGAAACTCGGGGGGGCATGATGGAGATGAGGGCGATGCGGTCCTCGCCGTCCTCACCGGGGATCCGTCTGGAGACCCCGTCGGGGACCTTGTCATCGATTCTGAGACAACGGGGGTACCCTCCTCCTCCCTGGTCCCCACTGCCCCCGTGATCCACGGCCTGCCGCCCCCCCCGTGTCTCCTCGGCGCGGACCCCGACGGCCGCGGCGAGTTGGAGGCCGCGGCCGTCCCCCGCTCCTCCTCCCCAGGGGAGCCGGCGTCCGCCTCGCTCCCGTGCCCCCCCATGTCCCCGTCCCCGCCTCCAAGTTCCCCCGCACCCCCCACAGCAAAGCCCCGGGGGGGCGCCCTGCAGCAGGGGCTGGCGTTCCTGCGCCGATCGCTGCGGCTTGACCGGGCGTTCCAGCGCTCCAGCAAGCACAAGCACGGCGCCGGGGGCGGCGGAGGCGGCCTGCTCACCTACGCGGCTCAGTTCCCCCCGGAATGGTGGCCCATGCTGGGGGAGCTGCCCACCACGCAGCACCAGCTTCAGCAGCAACAGCAGCTTCTAGGGCAGCAGCTGCACAACGCAAACCAGCTGCGCAGCGTGTCCCTGCTGCGTCTGGCGGTGGTGGGGGAGGGCAGCAGCGGCGGTGGCGATCCCGCTGCGGCGCTGGTGCTGGTGGTGCCGCGTGCCGTGGAGCTGGAGATCGTGCGGCGAATCAACCCGCGGCTCACGGAGGAGAACGTGGCGGCACACGCACGCGCGCTGGCGCTCGCCCACGCGGCGCAGCCTTTGCCGCCAGCCACCAACGCCAATCACCGAGAGCAGCATGGCGCCGCCACCGCCGGCGACGGCGGAGGCGGCCGCCCCGGTGGAGCCACCGACAATGACCCCCCACCCGCCGGGGAGCTCCACTCCGACCTCAACGCCAATGGCGAGGCCGGCGCGGACGGCGAGTGGGGGCACTACCGGCGCTACCAGGAGCGGTGGCGGGGGACCGGTCGGCGCTGGCGGGGGTCCCTGCGGGGCGGCTGGACGGACAAGTCGAGCCTGGGCCCCGGCGTGTCCGACGCCCAGACTTGCGCCACCCGCGCCAGCGGCACGCGGGGGCCCGACGATGACGACGACAATGACGATGTAGGAGGAGGAGTGTTCCACGGGGGCGGCCACGCAGACGAGGTGTCCTCCACCACCTCGTCATCATCCTCTCTGTCTGATTACGAGCGATACCACCGCCACCACCACCACCACCATGAGGGGCGGCACCATCGGCGGCAACAGCAGCAGCAGCAGCAGCTGGGTCCAAGCCACCACCAGCATCAGAAGCAGAAACACGAACAGCATCAACACCACCATCACCACCATCACCACCATCGGCAGCAGCAGCAGCAGCTGCTGACACCTTCGCAGGGACGCGCGTCTCCTCCTCCCCGCGTGCGCCCACGGGAGGCGGCAGCGGCTCCGCCGTGCCCCTCTGTGGCAACCCCCCACCACGCGGGGCCTCCCCCACCCCCGTCGCGAGCGCCGCCGCTGCCGCCCATCGCAGGAAGCCCCGGGCCCCCGTGCCGTCCCCGCCCACCCTCGCGCGACGCCAGGTCGGAGGGCCGCTCCCACGGGAGGTCGCGCGACAAGCGGGCTCGCGGGGACCGGGCCCACGACCCCGGCCCCGAGTGGCCAAGTGGTGGGGCCGCCACCGGCGGGTCACGTGACCCGGAGCGCAGGTCACGTGATCCGGCGACGGTTGGGGCTGTGGTAGAAGAGAGGAGGTCGAGGGGTCACGGATCACGGGAGGAGGGGTCGCGGGGTCACACGAGGTCGCACGGACGCAGGTCAGCTGATGACAGGTCGCGCGACGAGCGGCACCATGCTCACGGGCGGTCGCGTGACGTACGCGACGACGCGGCGCACAGACGTAGGTCGCACGGGCGCAGTTCGGCCGATCAGAGGTCGCAGGGTCAGAGGTCGAGGGACGAGCGATCCCAGGGTCAGAGGTCGAGGGACGAGCGATCGCAAGGTCAGAGGTCGAGGGACGAGCGACCGCAGGGTCAGAGGTCGAGGGACGAGCGACCGCAGGGTCAGAAGTCGAGGGACGAGCGACCGCAGGGTCAGAAGTCGAGGGACGAGCGACCGCAGGGCCAGAGGTCGAGGGACGAGAGGTCGCAAGGTCAGAGGTCGAGGGACGAGAGGTCGCAGGGTCAGAGGTCAAGAGACGAAAGATCGCAAGGTCAGAGGTCACATTCCTTGGCCCGGAGACGGAGCGGGGGGGAGGAGAGGTTCACTCTGCCCCGACCCGGAGAGTTTAGTGTGATCCTGTGATGCTCGCCCGTGCTTCAGCACCACCATGTGTTGTACCGCACCACACACCGTACGCACAGCACCACGCATTGTGGTCGGTGTATGTGGGAGATGCTATGGAGCAGGGTTTCCCAAACTTTAGTCCTCGCGATCCACCATGATACGTCTTTCCAATGTACCCCCCCCCCACCTCAAATCAACTTGTTCCACGCCCTACGCGCCTGATGATGGTTAAACACGACCTAAGTGACTCGCTAAGCAATTAACGCTGTCTGCGTCACAGAACACGTTAACACGTGAACATACACACACACACACACACGGAACATCTGTACATACGCGCACGAGATTGCGATCTTAATTTTAATACTCTATTAACCGCGGACAGCGTTCATTGTTTAGCGCGTCACGTGGGACATTCAACAATCATCGGACGCGTGCAGCGTGGAACGAGTTAATTTAAATTTGGAGTAAATTGGTTAACGCGGAAAGACGTAGCGCGGTTGGGGGTCGCGAGGACTGAAGTTTGGAAACCACGTAGTGGATGTACGGGAAGGTGACTGAGGTCACCAAACGTGTTTTTTACATCTGGACTTTGCTCAAAGGTTTAAAACCTCGCCTCAACAACAACCACCTTGATGACGTGCCAATGCCCGGGGCTACCCGAGGTGGAGTTCGATGCTGTAGGTATAGGTTGGAGATGCTATAGAGGATGGGCTGTAGGTAGCTAGAGGATGTAGGTATAGGTGGGAGGTGCTGTAGATTTTATGGAGGAGAAGGCGCTGGGTACACCCAGACTGAGCAGTATTCATTCCTCGACTGACGTCACCGCACGCGTTGTTGCTTTTCGTGACGATTTCTGCCAATAAAACTGAACTCGCGGTACACGCGGCGTGCGGGTGTCTGCGAAGGTGTCTGTGACGGTGTCTCTGTGGGTAGGTGTGGTGTTAGCCTGGGTTTAACCAGGCTGGCTTGTGTGGGTAGCTCACAAATTATTGATGAAGGCTCTGGACACATTCCCATCGGTGAGCTCCTCTGGCAGGCAAGGCTGCGTTGGCTTTCGTCATGTAGCCCGCACGCTCGAGCAGCTTCTGTTTGACCGCATCGAGGGAGCTACACGGGCACTACACGGGCTAGAGAAGAGACGGAGTGATGCGGTACAGGAGGACGTGGAGCTGAGTGGACTTGCCGATGACTGGTACCAGCGGTGTCAAGATCGGCCTCTGTGGAGGAGGCTCGTGAAGGACGCTGCTGCTACTGGACAGTTGGAGGCAGTCGCCCTCCAGCAACAACGGAGGGCAGAGGAGCGACGCTCGCAAACAACGAGCAGAGCGCCGTGTCGTTAAAACGCAGCAAGTTGCCACAGTACGGGCATTGCTGGCACAGGTGGGGCGCCACGGTCACGAGATGTTAACTACCTCGCCGGGTATACAGGAGGTCGTGCGCTCGATCCCGACCATGACGCCTGCTGTATATTTGGCGTTTGCATCTCAGTCGGCCAACCCGTGTCACCTGGGTCTGTCCCGAGACCTGTCAGCGAGCCTTCGACATTTCACCTGGCCTCAAGGTGCACCTGGCCTGGCACAGGCGCCGCGTTGACATCACCGTCACTTAGTGGCGAATGGCGGGTGTTGGTGTTAGCAACCCACCCCCTTCGTGTGCCGTGCCAGCATTCATAGGTGCTCACGAACAGCACTTGCCCCGCCAATCTGTTAATGGATATATGGGGGATCTTTGTCATGTAGGTAGGTGTGGGGAGCGGTAGTGTAGCGGTTAGCACGCTGGGCTACGAACGCGCTAACACCGAATCCTGCTCACGGACAACACGGTTATCTTAACCGGTCCGGAGCCTCCCCTGGGTAGACTCGGCTTCAAATTAGTACCTTTTACGATGTGTAAACATTGCCACTCGGGAGACAAAGGCGGCCAGGCGTAGTGCTGGCCACCCACCCCCTCGTGTGCCCTGCCGTCATTCATAGGTGCTCGCTAACAGCACTTGCCCCAAAAGTCTGTTACGACTATACGGGGGATATTTTCTCGTGTGCGTGTGTGTAAGTGAGTGAGGAGTCGGGCGGCATCTTTTCGTCAGCTGTGTAACGCTGTATTGGAAGCTACCTGGCCTATCGCTCCACAGATATACCCCTCTCTTCTCTCTGCTTGTGAATTGTGGACCTCTCCAAATGAACATCTTCGCTGATTTGAAACATTCAGACTGGCCTGCCCACGATCCATCCTTGGTTTGACCAGGTTGAGGTACAGTGTGAGGAGCTCAGAGATCCTTTAAATATCTGGACGCAGTCCCATGAGTGAGCTCCTCCGGCAAGGCGAGGAGGCTGCTTTGGCTGGGACACGCAGCCCGCATACTCGGCCACCGCAATCCTAAGCAGCTTCTGTTTGGCCGGATAGAGGGGGCTACACGGACGCCGCACGGGCTGGAGAAGAGATTCAGCTGATGCGGTACAGGAGAATGTGGAGCCGAGTTGATTTTCCGATGACCGATACCAGCGGTGTCAAGATCGACCACCGTAGGGGAGGCTCGGGAAGGACACTGCTGGGCAGTTTGAGGTAGTCGCCCTCCAGCAAAAGCGGAGGGCGGAGGAGCGACGCTCACAACAACAAGCCGAGCACGGAGCGGCTAAAACGCAGCGAGGTGGCACGTTGGGGAGCACAGGTGGTGCATCGGCCAGTCGACCCATGGCAGCTGGGTTTGCCCTGTGACTTGTCAGCGAGCCATCGGCACTTGCCATGGCCTCAAGGCGCACCTAGCCTCAAGGCGCACCTAGCCTGGCAGAAGCGCCCTGGTGACGTCACCACAACTTCGTGGTGAACGGTGGCATTTAAGTCCGGGGGGGCGTCACCCGACCCTGACGTTTCCTGACCCAATTTGACCTCGACCTTACGAGACTCAATGTTACGGCCATGGACCGTGGAGTGAAAACCACTGCAAGGCTGCCCTCCTTCAGCGGGAGAAGGCAAACGGCAACACTAGACGGGGACTTTCTGCTGAAGCCCTCTCTGACCTCGGCACTGGTATCTAGCTGCTGCTGTCATCACACGTGATAGAATCTCTATCTGACCCCACTTGAGCCAATTGGACCTGACCCTGATGTCATTTCACCTCACCTTGTTGTCTCACCTGACCCCGATCTCATTTGACCTCACCATGTTGCCTCACTTGACCCCGATGCCATTTGACCTCACCTTGCCTCACCTGACCCCGATCTCATTTGACCTCACCTTGTTGCCTCACCTGACCCCGATCTCATTTGACCTCACCTTGTTGCCTCACCTGACCCCGATCTCATTTGACCTCACCGTGTTGCCTCACCTGACCCCTATCTCATTTGACCTAACCTTGTTGCCTCACCTGACCCGGATGTCATTTGACCTCACCTTGTTGCCTCACCTGACCCCGATCTCATTTGACCTCACCTTGTTGCCTCACCTGACCCCGATCTCACTTGACCTCACCTTGTTGCCTCACCTGACCCCGATATCATTTGACCTCACCTTGTTGCCTCACCTGACCCGGATGTCAATTGACCTCACCTTGTTGCCTTGACCCCGATCTCATTTGACCTCACCTTGTTGCCTCACCTGACCCCGATCTCACTTGACCTCACCTTGTTGCCTCACCTGACCCCGATATCATTTGACCTCACCTTGTTGCCTCACCTGACCCGGATGTCAATTGACCTCACCTTGTTGCCTTGACCCCGATCTCATTTGACCTCACCTTGTTGCCTCACCTGACCCCGATCTCATTTGACCTCACCGTGTTGCCTCACCTGACCCCTATCTCATTTGACCTCACCTTGTTGCCTCACCTGACCCCGATCTCATTTGACCTCACCTTGTTGCCTCACCTGACCCCGATCTCATTTGACCTCGCCTTGTTGCCTCACCTGACCCCGATCTCATTTGACCTCACCGTGTTGCCTCACCTGACCCCGAGCCCCTCCCGTGACGTCGACACGTCCGTCGTGCGTAGCGACGTTCCTCGGTCCCACAGTGCGTGATGACGTCATCGCAAAGCGTGCGTGGCCGCGTGGCGTCGCGCGCTACGGTGCCCGGCGGCGGCCAAATTGAAGCCAGGCGAAACGCGATTCGTAAATAAACAGCGGCAGGGCCGAGTGACGGCTGATTCAACTTTTTCAACAGCGACGTCAACAACAACAACTGACACAGCAGCAGACACACATGATACCACCACAACAGTCACATCAACAGTCATGAACCAGCATTGACACATCAGCATCAGGTATCAACAGAGCAGCAGCAGCAGCATCATCATCGCCGCCATCGGTGCCGATGTCCCGCGGCCCAGACTCGGTTGAACGGCGTCTCGCCGAGTACAGAAGAAGGAAACGCGACCCGGGCACCATGGGGAGCCCCGCGCAGCGCGAGGGACCAGCGGGAGGTCCCCCCCACGCTGCTGCTGCTGCTCCTGCAGGAGCGGGACACAACTCCTGGCTCCGCCGCCTTCTCCCGCCCTGGGGGCACGGCACGCCGCAGAGAGCGGAGACCCCGCGCGGTGAGAAGGTGAGGCGGAGGTCGGTGGTGGGGGGGGGTGGTTGCTGATGATGATGGTCGTGGTGCTGATGGCAGTGGCGATATCACGGTGGTAGTGGCGGTGGTGCTGATGGTTATCTCGTCATCGGCTGCGTAAGGCTGTGTTGGAAGCTACCTGGCAGCCCGTCGCTCCACACGAAGCTTCTCGTTCGCATGGACGCCCTCCACACTCTCTCTCTGTCTCTCCCCTCTCTTCCCCAGGATTTACCGCCTGTCTCTCACCGCAGGAGCAGCCGCAAGGTGGGGATCCCTTGCGAGGAGAAGGGGTTCCTGCCGACGGCGCCGCTGGTGGTGAAGTTGGTGGTGATGGAGTGGGGCGCGGAGCCTCGCCTCGCTGGGCCGCTTGGCTCCGCGTCTCCATTTGGCTCCTGCTCCTCGGCCTCTTCCTCCACCTGCAGCTGCTGACGCCGTTCCTGCTCGTGTCCGTTCTCATCTTCCTCCCGCTCGCCTCCTCCCGCAGGGGTAACCATGGGGATGACGCCGGGGTCACGAGGGTGTAACCATGGGGATGACGCTGGGGGTCACGAGGGTGTAACCATGGGGATGACGCCGGGGTCACGAGGGTGTAACCATGGGGATGACGCTGGGGGTCACGAGGGTGTAACCATGGGGATGACACCGGGGTCACGAGGGTGTAACCATGGGGATGACACCGGGGTCACGAGGGTGTAACCATGGGGATGACACCGGGGTCACGAGGGTGTAACCATGGGGATGACGCTGGGGGTCACGAGGGTGTAACCATAGGGATGACACCGGGGTCACGAGGGTGTAACCATGGGGATGACACCGGGGTCACGAGGGTGTAACCATGGGGATGACGCCGGGGTCACGAGGGGGTAGCGAGGGGGATGACACCGGGGTCACGAGGGTGTAACCATGGGGATGACGCCGGGGTCACGAGGGTGTAACCATGGGGATGACGCTGGGGGTCACGAGGGTGTAACCATGGGGATGACACCGGGTCACGAGGGTGTAACCATGGCGATGACACCGGGGTCACGAGGGTGTAACCATGGGGATGACGCCGGGGTCACGAGGGTGTAACCATGGGGATGACGCTGGGGGTCACGAGGGTGTAACCATGGGGATGACACTGGGTCACGAGGGTGTAACCATGGCGATGACACCGGGGTCACGAGGGTGTAACCATGGGGATGATGCCGGGGTCACGAGGGTGTAACCATGGGGATGATACCGGGGTCACGAGGGTGGGTAACCAGAGGGGTAACACGGGGGGCTCTGACTCCTCCAGAGTGCAGGCACGGGGGAGGGGGGGACGCGACTCCTTGGTGCTGCCCAGGATCCCCATTCTGGTTTGTTGTTGTAACATTCTGACCTGCCTCGACTGGACATCTGTTAAATATTCTGATTTGGGTTTGATGCGTTGACCTGTGTGACCCAATGACCGCCAGTATCTCTCTGTGGTGCCCCCCCCCCCCCCCCTGTGTCCCCACAGCACGTGGCACCCTAAGTGCATACTCGGTGTTCAACCCCGGCTGCCGCCCCCTCCTCGGGGCCATCACCACGGAGCAGCTCGAGAGGGAGATGGGCTACGGAGCCCTGTGATGCCACCACCACCACCACCCACACAGGTGATGATGATGAGCAGGGGTCTGCAACTACAACTAACAAGAAGAGACCATCTTCGTTTTCAAATTCGGTACAAAAGTCAGTATTTAAAGAGCCGCAATGAATGTGACTACGGTCCTTAATAAATAACGTCACGCATCAGTCCTTAAAAAGCCGCATGTGGCTCTGAAGCCGCAGGTTACCGACAACCGATGATGATGATGATGATGGCAGTGATGTGTGTATGTACGTCGAACTTCTTTCGCACCGTACGTAGCCGAACCGTATTCATCGGAGGTGCGGGGGTAGGACAACAAACTAAACACAAAAATCAGTTCTAAAGACATGAGTTTTAAGTTGAGCCTTAAAAAGTGCAAAGCTCCCAGTGGCTTCCTAACATCGGAAGTAAAGGGCGCTCAAGACGGCCGCAGTAACGCATCTGAAAGTGCGCGATGCAGTGATCACAATTGTGGTGATGTTGTCAGTAGTGAAGGTGGTGGTCCCAGCCTGAATCATTTCTATCTCACCCTCGCCACCACCGCCTTCACCACGACCAGTAGCGCACGGTGCTGGTTGCTTGAATCATTTCTATCTCACCCTCGCCACCACCGCCTTCACCACGACCAAGTAGCGCACGGTGCTGGTTGCTTCCTCCAGACCAGCCCGTTCCGAGTTCGCATCTTACGCGCCTCTCTAACGCTCTCTGGTGGCCGCATCACGGCCCCCGACTCCAAAAGTGAATTATAATTCACTGATTTCTAGAGCTGACATACGGCCACTTGTTCAGCAGAGGGATGGATGCAATGGCGGAGCCAGGATTTTCAGGTAGGGGAGGGGGGGGGCAACCCCTCCAGCAATGAAAAATGAATAGGGGAGTTGTTAGTAAGTAAGGACTATTGTCCTATCATCTCATAGAGTCCCTGGCACGTAATAATATGCTACACAGTGGCAGTGGGGGGTCGCAAAATGCCGATTTGTTACTAATAAACTCCAATGATCCGATCGAAATTAGGGATTTCGATCGGATTATTGGGGAGGCACGTGCCACCCCCCCCCCCCCCCCACTGGCTCCGCCAGTGGATGGATGTAAACCTAGTTATGATTGCATCATCCATGACATCTAGGAATAACGATGCAATTCATATCATGTATAACACAATACCAGGTTCAGATGGCATCATTCATTATTTTGCTCAAAAAGCAAGTACTGTCCAAATCCAGTCATAGATTTATTCATAGATCCAGTCAAAGATGTATTTGAGTAAATTCTGGTTTAAATTGAAACCCCTTCCCTTTGTAACTCAATTATCTTCCGCCATTCCCAAGTCAAGGGTCGTATATACTGACGCGGTAGAATATCTTGATAACTAGAGCCAATCAACAATTTTAAGCATCATTTTCATTCTCAGTGACCCAGAATTAGTAGAGTTGGACTACATTTATAACATTTCCGCTGTAGACCAGTGTTATCGGTTAAACCGGGTGAACAATCGGGAGACCAGTATAGGAGTCCCATTTGCACGAGTGAGTGGGCGAATTAGTGAGTGTGTGAGTGAATGAATGGGTAGAGTGAATGAATGGGTGCGTGGGGAAATTAATGAATCAGATGGTGGGTGAGTGGGTAAACGATTTGAGTGAGGTAAGTTCAAGTTTGAAGCTGATTTTGTGTGACCAGGTGAAAACTTGACTTGGGTTACCAAAATTACAAAAACAACAAAAAGAACAGCAATGAATGGCATAGAAACCAGGACTAAAGCAACTGCAGCATCACATGAGAAATGGAGCATACCACGCAAATCATTGTTAAATAATGAATTCCCTGTAGCGTGAGTCAGCTCGGGCAGATGATGAGAATGATCAGGGCACGATTAGAAATTATTATCTCAACACGTATGAAAGGGCACCCCTAGTGGCAGCGATCCCTGTGCAATTCGACTGCCACTCGGGAGCGACGATTTCTGCTCTGTGTGTGTGAGATCCGAAATAAATAATTCAGAGTGCCATATTTCAAATTTGGATTTGGCGCGGGCACACAATGGCCTACTCTTGTGAACTAATCCACAGGATCTTTAAAGTCCACTTTGAGCAGGGAACACGTTGTATCATGGTGAATTCACACGACAGTATTCACCGGGTTGACTGCGGCTGTGGTCTTGTATTGTTTTTGCTGCTGTTGCTTTACTTCCTTTGCCAAGCTTGGGAATTGATGCAATTTGAACGTAGAGTACTCTTTGGTTCTTTCGGTAAAGTCACGTAGAAAGACAATAAATTAAATAATAGAAAACGACGTTTCGATTGCAACACAAACAACCATCGTCAGGTACGAATGAATGGGATAACAAACGTAGCGAACTTAGAAATGTAATGCAATACAACACAGAGAGTCGGCTAACACAACAGTCAACACCCTACCTGGTTGATTAACGTTCTTACAAAGAATGCTAAGTTTGAGAGAGAGAGAGACAAAACACAGACACGGAGACACAGACAGACACACAAGCGGAGAGAGAACACACAGAGACACACAGAGAGGGACACACACATAGACACACAGACACACAAGCGGAGAGAGAACACACAGAGACACATAGAGAGGGACACACACACATAGACACACAGACAGACACACAAGCAGAGAGAGAACACACAGAGACACACAGAGAGGGACACACACACATAGACAGACACACAAGCGGAGAGAGAACACACAGAGACACACAGAGAGGGACACACAGAGACACACAGACAGACACACAAGCGGAGAGAGAACACACAGAGACACACACATAGACACACACATAGACACACAGACAGACACACAGACAGACACACAAGCGGAGAGAGAACACACAGAGACACACAGAGAGAGACACACAACATAGACACATAGAGAGACACACAAGCAGATAGAGACACACAGAGACACACAGAGTGGGACACACACATAGACAGACACACAAGCAGAGAGAGAACACAGAGACACACAGAGAGAGAACACACAGAGAGGGACACACACACATAGACACAGACAGACACAAGCAGAGAGAGAACACAGAGACACACAGAGAGACACACACATAGACACACAGACAGACACACAAGCGGAGAGAGAACACACAGAGACACACAGAGAGACACACACATAGACACAGACAGACACACAAGCGGAGAGAGAACACACAGAGACACACAGAGAGGGACACACACACGTAGACACACAGACAGACACACAAGTAGAGAGAGACAACACAGAGACATACAGAGAGGGACACACACACAGACACATAGAGAGACACAAGCAGAGAGAGAACACACAGACACACAGAGAGAGACACACAGAGACACACAGACACACAAGCGGAGAGAGAACACACAGAGACACACACATAGACACACAGACACACAAGCGGAGAGAGAACACACAGAGACACACAGAGAGAGAGACACAGAGACACACAGACAGACACACAAGCGGAGAGAGAACACACAGAGACACACAGAGAGAGACACACAGAGACACACAGACAGACACACAAGCGGAGAGAGAACAGAGACACACAGAGAGGGACACACAGAGACACACAGACAGACACACAAGCGGAGAGAGAACACACAGAGACACACAAAGAGAGACACACACAAAGACACACAGACACACAAGCAGAGACAGAACACACAGAGACATCCAGAGAGAGACACACACATAGACACACAGACACACAAGCGGAGATAGAACACACAGAGACACACAGAGAGAGACACACAGAGACACACAGACAGACACACAAGCGGAGAGAGAACACACAGAGACACACAGAGAGAAACACACAGAGACACACAGACAGACACACAAGCGGAGAGAGAACAGAGACACACAGAGAGGGACACACAGAGACACACAGACAGACACACAAGCGGAGAGAGAACACACAGAGACACACAAAGAGAGACACACACAAAGACACACAGACACACAAGCAGAGACAGAACACACAGAGACATCCAGAGAGAGACACACACATAGACACACAGACACACAAGCGGAGATAGAACACACAGAGACACACAGAGAGAGAGACACACAACATAGACACACAGACAGACACACAAGCGGAGAGAGAACACACAGAGACACACAGAGAGAAACACACAGAGACACACAGACAGACACACAAGCAGAGAGAGAACACACAGAGACACACAGAGACAACAACAACAACAACCGCCATTCGCCACTAAGTGGCGGTGATGTCACCACGACGCTTGTGCCAGGCTATGTGCACCCTGAGGCCACGTGAAGTGTCGAACGCCCGCTGGCAGGAGGTCACGGGGCAGACCCAGGTGCCACGGGTCGCCTGACTGAGATGACTGGCTGATGCACCACCTGTGCCCCCTACTGTGCCAACCTGCTGTGCTTTAGCCACCCGGCGCTCCGCTCGCTGTTGTGAGCGTCGCTCCTCCGCCCTCCGTTGTTGTTGGAGGGCGACTGCCTCCAACTGCCCAGTAGCATCCTTCACGAGCCTCCTCCACAGAGGCCGATCTTGACACCGCTGGTACCAGTCATCGGCAAGTCCACTCAGCTCCACGTCCTCCTGTACCACATCACTCCATCTCTTCTCTAGCCCGTGCCGCGCCCGCTTAGCCCCCTCAATCCGGCCAAACAAAAGCTGTTTCGGCATGCGGTGGCTGGGCATGCGGGCTACATGACCCAGCCATCGCAGCCTTGCCTGCCGGAGGAGCTCACCGATGGGACCCTGCCCAGATCTTTCAAGGATTTGTGAGCTCACACAATCCAGTCTGGTTAAACCCAGGATGGATCGTAGGCAGGCCAGCCTAAATGTTTCTAACCGGCGAAGATGTTCCATTAAGGGGGTCCCCGTTTCGCAAGCGTAGAGAAGGGAGGGAATGACCGTGGCCGAGAAGACCTGAAGCTTAGTGCGGAGCGACAGACCAGGTAGCTTCCACACAGCGTTACGCAACCGATGAAAAGATATTGCCGCTCGACTGATTCGGAGTAAGACCT